GTAAATAAATGGCAAATGGGCTTTGATTATAATAAATGCAAGATAATGCATGTGGGTTATTTAATTTGAATTACAAGTATAATTTGGATAAGAATAACCTTAACAGTGTCATGAAAGAAAGGGATCTAGGTGTTTAAAGCCATCCAACCAGTGTGCTGTTGTTAGTGGTAGGGCAAATAGAATTTTAGGTTGTATCTACAGAAATATTGAATATAGACTAAAGATGTTATAATTTCATTGTACAGGTCACTGTTTAGGCCACATTTGGAATATTATGTTCAGTCTTGGGCTCCTTACCTTAGGAATGACATTGAATTGTTGGAAAGGATTCAGAGAAGGGTTACTAGAATAGTGCCTGGGATGGAGGGTTTGTCAAAAAAAAAGAAGTTGGGGGATCTGATTGAGGTGTTTAAGATTGTAAAGGAAATTAATAGTGTTGATGCATTATCTTTTTTCATATTTAACAGTGAGAATAGTAGGACTAGGGGACATAAATATAAATTTTGGAAAGGTAGGAGTCATCTTCAGCTAAGACAGTTTTATTTTTCTAACAGAGCAGTTGGCCTCTGAAATGGGTTGCCTTGGATGTTACAGAGGCAGAAAATTTAATTGAGTTTAAGAAAAGTTTGATAAGTTTATGAATGATAAGGGCTGGCTTTAAGATTTTTAATTTAGCTTAGAGGATGGAACAGCTGAGATGGACCAATAGATCCCATGTTGTCCCAAAACATTGTTTTGTTCAGGGATGTCTGGATTTTTCTAGTAAGACATGGTTCTTACTGAGCATCTTACATATTATAAAATTATAGAATAATAGTATGTCTCAGCCTCTGAGGATATATAAATATAATGGAAGTAAATCTTTTGATTACAAACTCGGTCTAAATTCTATCTAAATAGTTTGTAGACTTAAATTTGCTAAATGTTTCAGATGAAGGCTGGAACACCAAGTGTCATGTCCAGTGGCTATGATTCTCAGGCATTATCCACATCTCCAATATCCAGTGAAGATTCTGTATCGTTGCACAGTGTGAGTGTAGAGGAGACTCCTGAGAGTGATTCAAAACCCTTTATTGGTATTGAGAAACCAGAATTAGAGGACAGAGAAGAATGGTATTAAAGTAACTTTATATATATTTGTGTTTATAGATGTAATACATGTTTATGTATATATGTGAAATTGTATTTTCTTTATTGCTGCTGACGTTGTTAAGTTTTTGAAGTCTGGCATGCTCAGTGAACATTGATATGAATCGCATTAGCTACTTATAGCAATGTAGAAAGTCATTTTCTTGATAAACAGGATTACATTATTTAAAAAAGAAATGAACAAACTGTAATCCAGGCAAAATATTAAACTAACCTCTTACCGAAAGAATCAAATACAGTTTGGATTTATAAATGGATCTTGATGAACTTAAGCTGTTGTTACTTTAATTGGAAACATATAATGCTTATACATCATTTCAAATGTTTCTGTTTTGACAAATCTCATGGATGATTGACTTAAGTTGATAGTTTTTTACTTTATTCAGCAATTCTAGTTTAAGGGAAGAAAGCTAACAATTAATACCGTGTTCCAAAAATTTTATAATAAAAAACATATGCTGGTATATGAAAATAATAAGTGTAGCTTCCTTTATGATTAAAATGTATGATTAAGATCTGATAAAATTTATTTTTTAAATTATCTGGTCTAGATGTATAAATATTTTGTTTTAGAGAATATAAAGTAGAAATCAGGCTGTAGGATCAAAACATTCTTTATGAAAAACTTGTTTATTTCAGTAAGTGCTCCCCAGTGGCACGGTGGTATGTCTGCAGATTTACAATGCTAGAAACTTGGTTTCGATGCCTGTGGTGGGCAGAGCATAGATAGCCCATTGTGTAGCTTTGTGCTTAACTTCAAATAAACAAACAAAATTTAATAGGTATATCAGTTTATATAATATCATTGTTGATTGACATTGGTTCCTTTGAACATTTCTTTTATCTTTCTTTCAGCTCATATCAACCATTGTCAGATATCACAGAATCTACTACCACTGTTGTGAAACCACAGACTACCTTTGTAAGTTTGAAACCCTCTGTTGTTTTAGAAGACAGGCATTTAGCCACTTTTGACAAGTCAGTATTTGAAACTGATAAAGTTTATCCAGATTTGCAGTCTGCTCAAAGTGACCATAAACCAATTCAAGAAGGTCCTGTGGAACTGTCCATGCTTATCAAGGATTTTGAGGTAAATTTTGTTCAGCAAAAAACAGTTAAGGAAAAAGATGAAGAACGAAATAAAACTGAGGTCCTTGAAGATACTTTTTTAGAGGCACAAGAAAATATAAGTATATCTACTAGAAAGGTTGAACATGAAACTGATGTTGAACAAATTATTGAAGAACCTATTATAAAAGAAGAACATTGTGCTGTAGAACAAAAGGGTATTTTACAGGAAACTAATCAACCAAATGATGAAGAAATAGTTGCTGACAAAGGAAATTTAAATAGTGAAGATGTTATTAAAAAGCAGTTTACTGAGTCTGAGCTTTATTATGAAGTTCTGGGTGACACAAATGGAAACAACAATTTTCCTGATGTTCTAGTTAATCATGAAAATATGACTAACAAACAGACTTCACAGGTTAGAAGTATCCAGGATTCAGTTATGGATTCAAGAAACAACAGTACATATGCCAAACAGGTATGAGAATTAAATATTATACACTTTATAGAACTCTTTCGTTGTTTTATTTAGCCATTTAATCGTAAAATATAAAATTGTATGCACTGTTAAAAATTTCAGCTGAATATTCCAAAAAATGTTCATTTTGGCATTATGCTGAAATTTGAAATACAGATGGAATTTAATGTTTTATAAATTATTCATTCAAGCAGTACTTATTATTTTGCACTAATTAATCTGAGCATTTAATTTCTTTGGCATATGATACATTCACAAACTTCAGTTTCTGTATTAAAGCTTCTAATACAGTCATTTATGTTGAGAATTAAAACATGTACAGATTGTATTTCAGAAATGTATGAAGTTGGGAATTGTATAAACTCTTAATAGTTTTACACTGATGATTAACTTAAGGTTTATTATACAGAGTGATTAGAAAGAAAACATTGTACTTCAAGTGGTTACATCTTCAAATCTACATGTCCTTGGGGAACTAAATTTTAAAAGACACACGTTGATAATTATAATTTTTATTCATGGAAGTTTAGACATGTTTAACTTATATTGAGCTTATCTATAAATGAAAGCACTGTAAACATCATTTGTTGTATACAGTGTTCATTTATCCTCACAGTATGCTGCAAACTGATACATAGTTGATTCAAACCATCAATAGCATATTGTTGAAAGAGAGAAAAAGAATAGTCTTCTGGTGGATCAGCAATAAGTTTGTGGACTTACAGTACTAAAATCCAGGATTTCATTCAATTTGGTGCAAATAGTTCATTGTGAAGCTATGTATTAATAAAATAACAACAGAAAAGAATAGAAATATAAACAGTGCTAGTTTGCCAAAAAAAAAGTAACTTAAGTATGCACTTTAATTTAGTTTTAAAACATCATGATTCATTGTCTAAACCTTCCTGAATAAAACTCATGATTCTCAGTAAAATTATGTTCCCTCAGGACAAGAAGTTTAAGGCATAATGAGATTAAATATAGAATATTCTTTATAATCACCCTGTATGCACTGTAAAAAGACTTCCAGTGTTAGTATGTAATTTGTCTCACCTGCAAATTCTCAATATTTATTGATGTTACATGTACACTCTTAATTCATATGAAATACTGAATCTTGTGTTTAACCATTCCTTAGTGAATTTTTATAGTTTACATCTACTTATATCTGTGAAGGATGAAAGTGAAATTATTTATTCCAATTTCAAATTATTATTATTTTAGAAAAATAAGTGTAGAATTTCTTACACCAGTGATGTATTAAAAGAAATGTATATACTACATGTATATATGCAGTTAAGTGTTGTTTTTTTTTTCATTTTATTCCTTACTTTAGTCTTATGGTACATGCCATGTTCAGCGAAGATTGAAAAACAATAAACAGTACTTTGAACATCGGGCATCCTACCCTGCAACAGCTTTTCAGTCTAGTCAACATACCTTACCAAACCTTTCTTTCCAAATGTCAAGAGATGATATTGAGGATGCAGACTGGTCATTGTTTAAAAACAGTACTTCAGAAGACCTAGGTATGTAGTTTATCGAATTTTTTGTGTGCTTTGTAAAAAAAAAGAGGAATAAAGAATAAAAAAACAAACCTTTCTGACAAATCAACATGAATATTGAGCATTTAACAAAAACACAATAGTTGGCCTAAGAACGATAAGATGATAGTTTTGTTGCTAAGCAACGATGTATATTGTTGAGCATTACCAAAAAAGGAGTGTGAAAGTGTTCTCAACAGAGTGACAAAAGGGAATAAGTCTTTTATAGTTTGTGATGAGCAGTTTATTTGCTGTAGATAACCAGAACAAATATGTGTCGAAACTTGACATTAGCTAGTATTTCACAAATCAGTGTTTCCTCTCGTTAGCTCCTAGCCTGACAGCACTAGAATGTAGTAATTAATCTGTTTTATATATATATTATAAAAACATTAACTTCTTAAATAGTAGTCTATTATACTTTAATATTTGTTATAAAAGTGAAAAACAACTCATTACTGGCTTTATAGTTTGTAAAAAAAAATAGATTCCATATTGTTATATGTGTAGCTTGTTTAAACCAATCCAAAATTACAATGTGTAAAAGATAACTGTGAATTGTCCTCTTCAGACAAGTTGGAAGCTCTATAAAGTAAAATAAAGATCATGTTGTAGTCTGAATATGAAATTTAAAGCTTTGCAATATTTTGTTCTCAGACCAAGACGACAGTGTCAGTACAAATACATATGAGGGTCGAGCAGATCATTTTACTAGCAATGATGTAACTTTACCTGCATGGTTGACTGTAGGAGAAAGTGTTATGATCAGTCCTTATAACAAGACAGGAGTTGTAGCTTTCCTGGGAGCAACTGTATTTGCTCCTGGTGTGTGGGCTGGGGTTGAATTAGATACACCCACAGGTAAGATACAACTTTTTTGTGCATATGAAATTTAATATAGCCTGGTTTTTAATTTGTCTATTGAAGAGCATAAAGTTCTTAGGTTTCAAAATATGGATATTGTATTATTCCTTCAAATTTATTATAAAACACAGTATTGGTACTAACTGATTATTAATTCTATTTAATGAGTAAGTAAAGTACATGTTGAAATAATACGTTTATACTTATAAATGAATTTTGTTTTCTAATCAAACATTTTTTTACCTCAAATGCAAATATGCTCTCACACACACACACACACACACACACACACTTAAGACTGTATGATTAGATTTCACATATATATGTGTTTGTGTGCATGTCAAATGCACACACACACACACATATATATATGCTTTAGTTAATTTAACTTTACCTAATTTTGTTCAGAAATGATTAATGTTTTATTTGACTTAACCACTGCAATAATGTTACATAGTATGATTTTAAATTCTGTAACTCCATGTTTTAATAAATTGAAAAACAACTATCATGTTATTCAGGCAAAAATGATGGGTCAGTAGATGGAGTAAGGTATTTCCAGTGTAAGCCTCGTTTTGGTATCTTTGTTCGCCCAGACAAGCTGAACATCGATAAACGTGGAAGAGCTGTCAGAGCATCTCGCCAGGCTGGAACCAGTAATTTGAAGCGATCAGGCAGTAGGGAAAGTATGTAACATAACATAATGTTTAGGGACAACAGTAGCTCTATCTTCCTCTAAACTAAACTAAAACTATCAAATAAATAAATTTAATAAAATAAAATATTAAAGACAGCCCTTATCATTCATATAGTTATCAACTTTTCACTTAAATGTACTGCGTCCACAACATCTGAAGGGTTAGTACAAACGTGTAGGGTTATTACAAAAGTTTTATGATTTTTGCTTATTTAGAAAATCTGGAACACTGCTTTGCTTTGTGGCCCAAACAAAGACGTTACATTGTTTGGGCCATAGTAGAATAATTGCAAATCTGTAAAGTGATTTATTAAATCTAGTAATTCTTATTGTAAAATGCTTTAACGGAATTTGTGATTTCAAAAAATTCACTTACAGTTTCTTTAATTGTTAAGAATTAATATTGAAATAGATACTTGTTGACTAAACTACAAATAATCTGAAGTGAACTTATAATACTGTATAATATTCAGTGTCGGGAGTGGTGGGGATTATTATGTTGAGAAATACATAACTTTAGTCATCTGTGGGAAGTAGTGAAAAATAAAGACAACAAATGCATTGTACTGTAGTTGCTGTTATAAATTTTTACTTCTAAAGTAGCAGAGGAAATATATTAGTTCATGCTTTTAAGAATTTTGAAATTTTTATGGAACTTTCAAAGGTAAAAGATTTTCTAGAAGAGAATAAGAATTAATCTTAAAAAAGAAGTAACTAGCATCTTTCATAATTGTCAAATATATATGATAGTGAGTAGGTAGTTAGATTGTTAATATTGCATCATTTTACAACTTTCTTTTGCTATATAAAAAAATAACTTTTGAGGGAGTCTTAACTAATATAGATTTAACAGTGACAGTGCAGTTTTGTTTTAGTGGTATTGTAGGTTAATCAAAAGCTTTGTTGTAGGATTACTGATTATTGTTTGTTTTTTGCTAATATGGTTTTCTATAACTATTTTTATTACTTACTGGTGAATATGAATTTATGAAAAATTTCTGATCATCAAAAAGTCGGTTGTTTTTTGAGTAGACAAACCTTAATTTTTCTTCTTTTTTTCTTTGATTTATTAAAATATTTTTAACTAATAGATCTTTGTTAGTATAATACAAATTAAACTATGAACTTGATATAGTTACAGATATAGTTATAAAATCATAACTTTATGTTCCTAGTAGTAAAGGTTTTATAAATACCTGACTATTACAGATAAATCAAGGCTCAAGAGCATAAAACTTGGAAGCCCTTGTAATAAAGATTTTTTTGCTTTTCAGGTTTCTCTTCTTCCTCTAGTCTTCACCATAGTCGAAGTCGAGGAGAAGGGTTACAGAATATAAGGAGTTCCAGTACCAACTTGTACCAGCCTCGAAGCAGAGGAGAGTGTTTGGGTAAGATTTATGTTGAATCCAGAGAATATGGAAGAATGAGACAGCCCCATGGTAGAGATGAAGGTCTTTCGGAGAGTGTGTCAAAAAGTCGAACGCTGAATCTTAAAGGTCGAAAGTATTAAATTCCAAATGTTTTATTGTGTAAAGTTTAACTGAGAGACAAGAAGAGAGAAGAACTTTTTAATAACAAGTTTTGAATATTGGAAGTTCTGTATAGTTTGTTGTCTGCTGGATCTTAATTTTTACATGTTATTATTACTACACTTGGTATAATCATTTTAACTCTTACCTCCATAAATATTCTTGTATTGTGCAAATGTTCCATAGACCACAATGCTAGAGAAACAGTGTACTTTAATTATTGTAGCTGCTATATTATGATGTATTTTATTTTGTAGAACTTATATTAACATAGTTTATCTAGAAAAATTAATTTTTCTTTCAGCTATGTTTGCTATTGAAAATGTTAGTGTTTATTAAAACTGTGGCATGTTCAGTTTAATTACAAAAGAGTGAAACACACAACCAGAAATAATCTGAGGGAATTAAAGATAAAACTACAAAATATCAAAAACAAATTTCTTCATGTTTTTTCCAAATTCTGTTAATGGAGGATATATATATAAATTTATATATTTATATAGTTCTTTTGATTGTATATTAAAATATTTTAAGCAAGTTATGGTATTTTTTTTTCACTGACATACTCTGCTATTAAGTTTACAGTATATATATTTTAAATAAGAAATTTTTATTTCTAAGAGAGAAAACGTTTATGATTTTAACTTTCTAAACTATACAATTTACTTCCAATAAACATTGTGAGTTATAACTTATTTATGTTCTTCTTGTGGGGGAGGAAGATAAAATTTGTATAACAAGATGTATGTGTTTGATGATTTTATTTCAAGCATTCCAGTTTAAAGATGTGGAAAATATTTGGGATAAGCTATTTCATTTATTATGGACCAGTCTCCTTTTATTTTTCATAATCACTTTGTTTTAAATTTCTCTCTTGCGAGTTAGCTTATTTTATGTGTGTGTGTGTATATGTATATATATATCTTCTTCAACATCTTTCCAAGCAGATCTAGCAAAAATAAGTTTATTACATTTTCAACAAATATTAATGTAAAGTGTAAAAAAATGTGATAGGAAAGTAAAAGTCTGACACATCAAAGCTATTAACATTACTCGGTAAAACTGAAGATAAAAAGCTAATAGAGAATCTAATTCGTATTATCTACTTGATGGTAAAAAAAGAGTTTGTATTTGAAAGGAAAAGATGACAATTGCATTTTCTTGGAATATTTTATTTTAATTTTACAGGTGCAATTCACTGAGCAAAGGAAAAGTTCAGTATTGTATTAAGCATGTATAATATTTCAGTCATGTTAGAGAAGTGTTGTAGTTACAAAACATTTGTCAGGAAATCTGTAAGGTATTTATTTTGATATTTTATACATAGACATCAGATTTCTTTCGTTTAATTATGAAGCAGCAATTTCTTTGCCAAGTTCTTTATTAATGGAACTATGAGATTGATAATGGTATATTATTTAAAGAATTGTTTGAATCTTCTTATTGAATTAAATATGATAAAAGTTTAATTCATCAGAGTTCAGACAATTTCATCGTATCTAATGCCATATGTAGATGTAAAAATTAAACATTGATAGTTGGTTGCTATTTTGGACTGGTTAGTGAATGTGTTTAGTTTAAATAATTTTCCCCCATTAAATGTAAGTGTTGTTAAAGCTATTATTGTTGTTCAGTTGCAGTACATATTAATTTATGACAAGCACTTTGATGTATATATATGACATAATATTGTAACTCCATCAAATATTTTGGTGATTTCAGAAAATAATTTCTTTATTGTAATCAATGAAGTATTTTAAATATTTAGCTAAGGTAGTCTTAGATATTTTTTGTTTCTGTATATATTTATGCTTAGCAAGAAGAGTGCTGTAGCTATTACTAAGCATGTCGGAAGAAGCAGTGTTTGTTAATAATCATCACAGTATTAGGAAATGTTCGTTAATAATCATTGTTGTCAGCAGTCATTCTTATCTATAGCAGTCTTGTTGGACCCTAGAAAAGATATACCAATTTCACTCACTCATTTTTCCTGTGTGTATAAATAGGAGGATAAATGTGTTTTAATAGTTCTATCTTATTGGGTTAGTGAACTTTGCTACCCCAACTTTATATGCTGACCTTGTTACGGTATGGTAACATGTTTTCCTTTGAAGATGGGGTAGACGTCCTTTAGCATTCCGTCTTGTTCATTCGTCCAAGTTATCACAAATTCAACCATAAAAACCTATTAACAACAACCAGGCCAATTTTTCTCCCCCTTACAAATAACTTAATTGTGGGTGTCCTGTTGTTCTGAAAACAAGCTTTTAAATGTAATTTTGTTCTATACAAATTAAAATTTCTGTATATTCATCTTCCAAAATATAGGACATTAATTTTGTGAAGCTTTATCTTGAATGGAATATTTTGAGGGCAGTTATTTTGATAGTATAACAAACAGTATTTAAAAGATGAAGAAGGAAAAATTGTATTTTTGCCAGTTCACGGTTATTAACTGATTTTTTTTTAACTTAGTAGATGCAGCTCATTACAAACCCTCTCGGTGTTTTACAGTAATTTACCCTGTATTGCTCAACTTCTCACATCACAGAGTTTGAACTACTTCCTTCTCTTTGATCTGATTATTCCTGATGGATAGTTCAGAATCAGTGGGTAAGCTAGGCAGCTCTGTACCTAACCCTGTAATACTCTGGTTTTATTGTAGAACAGAGAACAATAAAAATTAGGCTTTAATCAAGTTCATCTTTTTGTATTTGTACTTTGTTCAGGTAGTAAATTCTCATATTGTTACAATTGTATCAAGCTCACCTAATAGAATTTTCATTATTGATTGAAATTTAAAATTTATTTTTTGGGGATTTAGCTGCTAGTAAACTTCTGGGCAGTATGAATTAATTGAGCAGTCATGAATTAAGTAAGAGTCTTAAGATTAAAAGAAAAAAATATTAATCACTAAGAGTATGTAAAGGAAAATCAATTACATTAGATGTATAACATGTAAATGTGTTGTGAAAAAATCTTGAACATTGAAGCTGTGTTTTAGTAGAACAAGAATGTCACAGACAAGTGAAAAAATAGAAATTGATAAAAACTGCACAAAGAATGTATATACACATTTAAAAAGTTTAAGATAAAGGTGTGTCATAGTCATACCTTGTTATTTTGCAGTTAGTCTAGCAGCAGGATTTCCACCTGTTACATTTCCTATGGAACCATTCCTTATTCAGTAGTAAAATGCAGCATTTCCTTTCAGATAAGAATGGAATGCAGTTTGTTCCTTATTTTGTTTGGGTGCATCTTTGTTTTGTTTTAGGCCTTGGTTTCTGACTTATGCAAATGCTGAAACCAACAAGAGTTGTTCAGATGGCAGCCTGTATGACAGAAATATATCAATGCTACAAACAATTATACTGGTTATTATTCAGAAACAGGAAAGTAAATTTTTATTCCTTATATCTGTCTAGAAAAAACAAAAATGTGGATTATAGAATCTGAAGAATGAATTAATTTTTTTTATTAAATATATTTTGTAAACCCCACATAAAGACTTGTAAAAACTCATAACACTTTTCCTTTAAATATATAAACTTTGTATTACAAAAAAGATAGTCATGAGGTGCATGTTCACAAACTTCTTTGATTAAAATCTCTTACAAAATACTCTGGTGTGGAAAGCTTTAGTGAGTATTAACTGGCATATGATGGGCAAAAATATATCATTGCTACCTCACTTTGATTAGATTTGATAAACACTTAGTAGTGAGTTTAGTGAAAAGTATTTCCAGAATATATTCCTACATTGTAAAGATGGTAAGCTTTATGATTGTTAAGAGAATAAATTACAATGGAAAGTTGCAAAGAGGATGTGCTCCTTATGTCAAGTACAACTACAGTAAGTTCACAAGAGTTCTATGAACCATATTTAACCGGAAGGAATTGTCACTTCATACGACAGTGAAACTGGATCACAATAGGATATCCATTGTTATCACAAATTTTTCGTGTGTTTTTAGCAGATAAGACTGATAAATGATCCATTTTCAGAATACCTATCAAATATCCCATTGCATCACCACTGATTTTGTATTTTTCTCCAGTCCATTTAGAGGAATTTTTGGAAATAGCAGATATGTGTAGTTTTTAATCTGTCGAGGATTGCAGAGTAAAGATGATATAGATATCACAGAAAGTGAGCTGTCATCCACAATCAAGGAATATTATATAGCTCACATGGGAAGCTGTAGCATAAAACCATTACTTAGGTTTAGAAAAGAAGTTGGTAGCCTCCATTGTCACAGATCTTTTGTAACAATTTACTGTTTTTATACAGAAAATTCTGATTTTCATAAAATAATCTAAGATATTTACAACCACCACTAAAATCAAAAACACCATTAACTAGGTCAAAATGTGTACAATTGGCTTGGTTGTTGTTGGAAAATGTGCCCTAACTGTGACATGTTAAACCTATACAATAGATTGATGCAGCCTCAAGTAATAATACTATCTTTTAATAAATATATGCCACCACTTTATCGTGTGAAAATTTATTACACTAGAGCACAATCACTATGCCCTGTAGTAGTCCCACAATTTCAGTCATGGCTCCCACTACTGAAGTACAGCATGATAAACATATGAAAATCTAAGTTTGGCTGGCTAAGCATACTCCATACGAAAAATCATGGTAAGACTCAGTGTCAGCAGGAGCTGTATGCCAGTTTCTGAAAAGAGTTTGTGAAACTGAAAATGACGGAAATTGTCGAAGTAGGAAAACAAAACTCTCCAAAAGTTTTGTTTACTGTTTTGGGGTTTGTTCTTTACGAGATAGACAGCATTCAAATAAAGGTCTCGCCAGCTACCTTGCTGTAAATATAGGTGTGGATGTTACCCCCAGAACAGTAGGATACACACTACACAAAGAGATCTCAAAGGACATGTAGCTCCTTGAAAACCGCTGCTGAATAGATGTGAACAAACCAAAAGGTTTAAATAGTTATAAAACCATAAAAAATGGAATAAGCAAAGTTGGAGACGTCTTCATTACAGATGGATCCAAGTTTCAGCAACAATTAATGAGAGGAAAATGGTATGGTAGTTAACTTCTACATGTTTGGGACTACTACTTAAACAACAGTGTTGGTGATCTACACAAAATTTATAGTACACTGATTGCTGAGCAGCGCATGCAAATTTTGATCCATCGTGTCATTTCCTCAGGAACATGACTACACAAAAAGAATGTGTAATGTTCTGTGTAAAGCATAGAAACTCATACGGAAGATTAAGACAATGTAAAATTCACTCATCTTTTTCAGTGATAATGTTTTATACCATTAATAATTTCACCATATAATTGCAATTATTCCTTGTTTATTATATATATGTGTGTGTGTGTGTGTGTGTGTA